GGGTGCTGCGGGGGGACGCTCCGCCGGGCAGCGCCGCTTGGAAGCCTCCGAGGAAAAGCCGGGCAGGGTTTATATTCCAGCTAGGTTTCGTTTGCTCTTTTCTTTTTTTAGATGCGTTACTGTGCCTGTAGAGACTTCATCGCTTCACCTCAGACCTATGTGACTCTGGGGGAAGGATCATGACTGAAGTCCTTCTCTCTGCTGCTCTGAATGGAACTGAACCCAACCTGTTATCCAGCAGTGGCTGGTCTGCGGGAAACGTCACCACCAAGTGTTCCCTGACCAAAACCGGCTTCCAGTTCTATTACTTGCCCACCGTCTACATTCTGGTCTTCATCACTGGGTTTTTGGGCAACAGTGTGGCCATCTGGATGTTTGTCTTCCACATGAAGCCGTGGAGCGGCATCTCAGTTTACATGTTCAACTTGGCACTGGCTGATTTCTTGTATGTCTTGACTCTGCCCGCCCTCATCTTTTACTACTTCAACAAAACAGACTGGATCTTCGGAGATATTATGTGCAAGCTGCAGAGGTTCATCTTCCACGTGAACCTGTATGGCAGTATTCTGTTCCTAACCTGCATTAGTGTGCACAGGTACACGGGAGTGGTGCACCCCCTGAAGTCTCTGGGGAGGCTGAAGAAGAAGAACGCTGTGTACATCAGCAGCCTGGTCTGGGTCCTGGTGGTGGCTGCAATTTCTCCCATACTCTTCTACTCGGGAACGGGAATAAGGAAAAATAAAACCACGACATGCTACGACACAACAGCCGACGATTACCTGAGAAGTTACTTCATTTACAGCATGTGCACCACAGTGCTGATGTTCTGCATCCCCTTCATAGTGATTCTTGGTTGCTATGGGCTCATCGTGAAAGCTTTGATTTACAAAGATTTGGACAATTCTCCTCTCAGGAGAAAGTCCATTTACCTGGTTATTATTGTGTTGACAGTCTTTGCCGTGTCTTACCTTCCCTTCCACGTGATGAAGACCTTAAACCTAAGGGCCAGGGTGGATTTTCAGACTCCAGATATGTGTGCCTTCAACGATAAGGTTTATGCCACTTACCAAGTGACGAGGGGCCTGGCCAGCCTCAACAGCTGCGTCGACCCCATCCTGTACTTCCTGGCAGGTGACACCTTCCGAAGGAGGCTCTCCAGGGCCACCAGGAAATCGTCCAGAAGGAGCGAGCACAACGTGCAGTCCAAGAGCGAGGAAATGACTCTCAATATTTTATCAGAGTATAAACAGAATGGAGATACCAGTTTGTGAACAAACGCGGAAGATTTGGGAAAAATCCTCCGCTTTGAGGCAGTAGGAGACTGTAGGGCTACAAGTGTGTGAGGAAATCTACCAGTCTCTCAAATTCCTTTTAGGTAAAGCCTCGTTTTCTCATCTTAGGAAAAGCTTAACAAAGTGGAAGGATTTTCATGAAAAAATAACATGTTGAAATTCAGCTTTCCTTCAATAGTCTCATTTCTTTCTGACTTGTGTCAGATAAAGTAAAATGAAGTAAATCCCCTAAAGGAGGAAAGCAATCCAAGTGCTTCTGGTTTAATGACTTAGTCTCCCACGTTCAAAAATGTTCTCAGTCAGCCTCTCTTTCAAAATAGGAAATAAAAATAAGAGCAGTATCCTGTCTCTGAGGCTCAGTCACAGACCGAGCCTCGCGCTCGCTCGCCGTTCTACGCAGGGATTTAAATCAGAGTCACGACACAGTTATCATTTACAGTTTTATTATTTCTTCATCTACTTCTAGTGCTGGTAATTATTTGGTAGTTTGGTGGCATTTATGGTTCAGTCCTCTTTCAGTGCTGATGTTTTACTAAAGGTAGGCTTACTGGTGTGTGCATGATTGTGCTTTCAGATTGTGATGGTTGTTCATGACAAACCTGGGCCCCCTTCAAAGCAGAGGGTTCCCAGGTGCAGTGGCCCCTTGGGCACTGGCAGACAGGTAGCAGGTCTCCCTCGGAGCCAGGCATGTGGGCACTGCCAGCACGTGCTGGAGAGCAAAGTGTGTTGAGGTGACTGGGCTTTGAGCAGCTGAGGGTCCCATCCTGTCCCCGTGCTGGCCGCAGAGATGGCAGGACAGGCTGAGCATGGACTGGGCTGGCCAGGGAGTTCCAGGTGAGCCCCCTGGCCCAGGGGCTGGTCAGTGCCCTGCTGTGGCACGGCCACTGGTGCTCAGAGCCTTGTGGAGTTCTGCGCGGGGAGAAATGGGTGGGCTGGAAATACCTGAACCTTCCAGGCGAGCAGAGTGTGCAGGAGCTCGAGGTACCTGTGCTTGGTACGAGAATGGTTCTGTTCCTGCAGTCTTTACAGATAACACAAGAGTTGTTTCCCCAGAAAAA